GAAATAGGTGTTCATTTATTTATTCTTGATTTCTCAAAACATTCTTTCTGATAAAAGCATATCGATTTGTTTCAATACTAATTGGTCAATGAAGTCGTTATCCATAATTAGCCTAAAATATGCAAAAGGTTCACTATTTAGAATTTGGTAACTGCAACAAACCATTTACTTTAGTGAAAGCGAATTCCCGCATTTCTATTGTTCATCAGCCCATATTGGATCATTATTTGTTGATGGCGGAAGTTGAGTAGGGTCAACTCCTAAATGTGCCCATCCTTTACTTTGCCTATTTGGATATTTTCGAAAGTTTTTACAGAAATTTGCACATTAAAAAAAAAGAAAAATCTTATTGAGAGAATAATGATTATATAGGTTGGATTCTGAAGATGAACTATTCTCTTAATATTTTCAACTTCCCAAAAAACCGTAAAATGCTTTCTTTTGGCACACGTTATATTCACGTTTTGGCATCAACAGGAGATGATAACAACCCATTTTAATTTTCACAAATTAGTTATCTGGTCCAATGTTCGGCGGTAGAAAGCTTACGTNTTTTGAAAATGTTTAATTTCATCCACAAAACTGTTTCTCAATTAATAAAATATGCCATATGCCTCTGAAATTATAACAAAAAATTTGCTGTCTTTTTTATGTCTTTGGCATTGACTACTGAAGTTATTAGCTTCTTCTGAGTAGTACTTGGTTACTCACATTTTGTCGTCAATCGAGGACCGCCTGCCCGGTACTGACGATGCCCAATAGGCTGAAACAGCTATCTACCGGTGGCTCTATTTATCTTTTGATTTTCATGGAATTAATTTCCAGCAGCTTGACTATCAATCGGGTTTCTATCAATCGGGCGTCCGGTTGCAATGAACGCCGAATTGTTTCTCCGTGCAAGGCAGCTCAGAGTTTCCTTATCTTGGAAAATTTCGAATGGACGCCCAGTTATCAGATTCATTGTCAAAATTCAATAGATTGGCGTATACTCTAGTTGAGTATTTTTCATTTTGGTGGCGCTCAGAAGGTACGCGTATATTTGTTACGTATATTTTTCATACAGGTGAACGATTATAAAGCGTCCATATAACTGACAACAATGCAGGAGTTTTCGCAACTGGGAATACTCAATAATTTGTTAGAAATATCGTTGATTTGGATACGTTTGTAGGTCGGCGCCGTTTTCATATACAGTGTGTAAAAGCCAAATGGAATAAATTCATTATTTCGGTTACGGTACATATTTCAACAAAATCCCGAAACACGTTAAATTTAGATTATGAAGAACTTGTAGACGAAAGTCATAGATTATTTTTTGAGTAACTAAGATGTAAACTATGTATGTGCTATCGTGAGCATTAGCTGAATGAATTGTAGTCCAAAGTGTTTTTCTTTCAAGCGGATATTATGCGTTTATTTGATTTTGTCTATCTACACTACCCATTTATTTATTGTAATTATATATGGGTCTGGTAGACCTCGACGGTCTACAAAATCCACCATTTCATTTCTATGCTCAATCAATCTATATAACACATCTCGTTTGCCTCTATATTTTCCTACTAGAATATTATTTGTATATTTCGAAAATGTTTCAGTTTTTCTTCTTTTTTGAATATTTTTCGAATTTTCTTTTTTCTTTGAATTCAGTGTACCCGTACAACAGGTTTTTTTTTGTTTGTGAGCTCAATGGCCAACTCCTAAGAGTTATAGAATCTGTCTATGTGTGCAGTTGAAAACCAGGAGAAAACTGAAATTTTTTTGTGAACAGTGTGAGAATGGTTTTTATAAAGTACCAGCCCTAATCAAGGAAGTATCAGAACTGAAAGAACTTGTTAAAAAACTGGCAAATAATGAAGAAAAATTCGCAAATAATAAAGACAATTCCCAAATATCAAATGCAACTAGTGTATATATGTCAGATACCAGACATGGAAGGAAGTGATATCTGAAATGCTGAATAGTCAAAATAGAGCCTGAAATTTAATAATTTACAATATTAATGAATCCCAGAAAAATACGCAAAATGAACGTAATTCAGAAGATGAGCAGGCAGTTGAATTCATTTTAGAGGATTATAATGTTAACAAAAACAATATTAAATTATTCAGGCTTGGAAAATGCAGCAAAAATTAGGCCACTTAAAGTTATTCTGAGCTCTCCAGAAGACGCTAAACTTGTTTTAAAAAATAAATCAACAAAAATCCCAATAATAAAAATATCCGGAGACCAAACCAAAGCTCAACAAGAATATTTTAAACGTATTAGAGCAAAACTTGAAGAGTTCATAAAAAATGGTGATGATTCAAAAACAATAAAATTTATCAACAATAAACCAACCATAATAAACAAAAATATTACTTCACAACAAAAAACCGATAAAGGACCCTTATATCCACCTCTATACTGATAAAATATACATGAACGCCCAAAGTTTGCTGCATAAAATTTACCAAATTCAAATAAGCATTTTATATTACTATCCAAAAGTAATTCTAGTTAGTGAGGCTAAAATAACTAGTGAAATTGAAGATTCAGAGATCAAACTGGATGGTTTTAGTCACATTCGATGTGATTCTACAAATCGGCAAGCCGGGGGTGTTGCGATTTATGTGAATTATGGTATACTGTGTTCAACAAAAAAGACTTATATTTTAAAAGACAATTACTGGTGTAAGGTTTGTAACGGGATAATTATCTACTTAAAAATATATAGTTCAAAATATTGATAATGAAATCAACTTCATGAGGAAAAAAAAATATATTATTCCGTAACTGACAAATAATTTCAAGTCTTTATCTTATGATAAGAAATTGTACATTATTAAATCTCTGGGAAGACCTCAACCAAATTTGATTTCAATTAAAGCGTCAGATAATCGACAAAATGAGGATTTAATATTAGTTGGTACGATAAATGCGATTGGTTAACCGGCTCCATTAAATGAGAAAAACTTTTTTGTTGGCCCTGTGTTTTATTTTCCGTACAAACCGAAAACCAAACGAGGTCTAAAATAGGATACTCCGATTTAAAAAATTTACCTCGTGTTATGGGGCAAATATGATTCACAATTGGCACGTTTTTAAACGGTAGCGTTTTTTCGGGCACCTCAAAAACCATCCAAAATGAGCTTATTATAGACAGTGTGGCATACATTATTAAGGAAAATATAAGCAAGGAGATTGAAAGTGTTTCTTTTTTTGCATGGGAAATTGATGAAACTACCGATATTACCTGTACATCACAACTTTCAATCGTTTATAGATATGTCAAAGATGGTAATGTGGTAGAACGTTTTATGGGTTTTCAAGATGTTTCATCTGGGAGCACAGCTGACGATCTGTTTAATTTTTCAATTCGTATGTGTGACACTTATAATTTTAGGCAAAAGTTAATGCGGAAACCTATGATGGGGCTGCGGTCATGGCCGGCCATTTAAATGGTTTACAAACTAAAATTGGCATTTTCATGCCCATGCCCTAACTTTAGTATTAAGCAGAGCATGCAACAACATAAAAATTTTCGCGCCTCCGGCGGGCTTTTCTATGTGTATATAGTCTATACGACTTAAGCCTCCTCTGTTCTACAATGCACGAGCCGTCACTCTTAATGTCTTCATCTGTTATTGATTTTCAATAACTGTATTAGGTTGTTTCAAAAGTTTCGCCCGTTTTTATGAGTCTACTTCAAACTGCGATATCTCAGTGAATACTTATTCAATTTAATCGAAATAACTGCCATTTGAATCAGTGCTCTTTTGCTAACGTAACACAAGTCGATTAATGGCGTCAGAATAAAAATTTGGTACTCGAGATTCGATGGAATCGACGAAGTGAGAAAGTTATTATAGTACTTGAAAATGTAGTAGTCGGTTGGCGAGAGGTTTGGAGGGTATGGTGGGTGAAGCAGAACTTCGACGCTCAATCGTTCAATTTTCAAACAGTGATTTGTGAAACGTGCGGACGGGCGTTGTCTGATTATCAGTGCCGGCTGCTGTTGACGCAATTTTCGGTACATTTCGTCGATTTCCTACTGTGATGGTTTGGCGCGGTTGCAGAAAGTTATAGCTAACCACTATACAGTAACCATGATCGTTTTGGTGGGTTTTTGCCTTTGGGAAGTGCTTGTTGGCTCATTGGTGTCCAACAACTGTCTTGAACGTCTCCTGTTCTCGTGAAGGTTTCACTTTTCGTCATGTTTGGTTGCGTAAAAACAAAGAAGAACAGACCTCGAAACGTGACAATTTCTGTAGATTTTGCAAATCGTGGCAAACCTACTTTTCGAGCTTTTTGACTTTTCTAATACGTTTCAAACCATCAAGAATCCCCATGGGAGTTGACGCCCAATTCATCCATCATCCCAATAAATTTAGTCCTTACTGAGTCAGAAAAATCCTCCCTTTGCGTTTAACAGACTACGATAGAAAAATAACCTGTAGAAAGCTACTCAGACAACATCGTGATGGTAATGAAATCTGTTATAAAATTCTATGGTATGATGAGAGTAGATTCACAAATAACTGATGGGTTAACAGAAATATTCATTATTACTGGCTACAAAAAAAACTCCTTCCTATATAAAACTACAAATTTCCAAGAGAGAATTTGAGTTAATTCTTGGCTTGGTGTGCTAGACAGCAAGATTATAGGTCCCTACTTTTTTGAGATATCTTTGACGAGAAATTATATTTGGAAAATTTGCTTTTGAATATTCTGAGAAAATATCAGTATTTCCATCATGATAGAGCTCCGCAAAGTCGCAGAACTATTTGCAGAGATTTCCTCAATACAACTAAGCCAGGACGATGGATAGGAACCAATGGTCCTATTAAATGGCAACCACCTGACCTGAATTTTCTGAACTTTTCATTCTGGGGCTGGTAATAGAGAGTTATCGAAGTGCTTGAAAAGATGGTAGTCGGTTGGCNATTTGTTTTTTTTGTAATAATTATTTACGAATCATCACAAATATAAATTTACGAAAGTACTAAATTTTTTACCTTATCAGATATTTTCAAAGAATGGATGGTCATTGAAACATAGTTGTCTCCACCTTCAAAGGATGCAGCACCGGGGTATTTATTTTCCATGTCCGACAAAATAAAAGAGATTTCTTGGGTGGTATGGTACTTTGGCTTGTACTGATTCTCTCCTATACCAAAATCGTAGGCACTGGCCCAATGTAAAGGATCATCTTTCATCAGTGTTACATTGTACTGTAGATAACCTGAATCTGGAATGATCTGAAAAGAGATATTACATCAAAATATATTGTGTGAAAATACTCTAAACGTATTAAAAAAAGTTCAATTATTTACTGTGGCAATAGGTTAATGAGGTATTACATACAAACTGTTTATAAAAAAAATGGTTCAGTCTATGATATAAACCACCTTCAAATAGTTTCCTTAGGTGCAAAAATAACTCTTTATAAAGTCCCATCAGGTTGTCACGCTGAGTAAGATTCTGTAATTCTTTGTTGGTGTTGCACTACATGCATAGATGTGTTGGAAAGTGTTATGTTTGTATTTGAAGAGACTGCTTAGAGAAACAATGGTTCACAAATATTGATTGGTGCTGTGTTGTATTACTTGTCTACACCAAAAAAGGTATTTATAAAACTGTACGCCAAATGTAGATTCCTGACGTCAACCAATCAGAAATTATTTTGATGTTACAGAAAATTCAAAGGGATTAGTTTGAATTTCAAGTACGAATTTCACAGTACACACATTTCTGTTTGGAAGAAAGAAGTTATCATTCTATAAGGATAAATAGAAGGATTTCACCACTTGACCTTCTATTAGAATAAAAAGTGAAATTTGGACGGATCACCATTGCGTTTCTGGAGTAAATCAAATCAAATCAAAATATACTTTATTGTCCGATGATGTGCATCTTATTGACAAAGTCCAAGAAATACAATGTTGATATAAAAAAAGTACTAAAAAAGTATAAATGTAGATATAAAAAAGTTCCAAAAATGAATAAATGTAAATATAAAAAAAAGTTCTAAAAATGTATAGATAAAATACCATCATGTATAAAGTGATAGTTCAATAGTAGTAAAAATATTAGTAATATATTGCTAATATATTATTAAAAGGATTCGCTAAAATACTCTTCAAAACTATAATAGGGTCTATCTACAAGTAGGTTCTTCACAGCCTTTTTGAAATGAACGTTGCTTAAATTTGCAGATCTCATTTCTAATGGTAAATTATTGAACAGTTTACCACCATTGTAGTATATGGAATCCTTGATTAAATTTGAAGTTGGGATGGGAAGTCTAAAGGTATAATTGCTATTGCAAGTAGCATAAGGAGTAGAAGCAAAGTTGAACTTCGATTTATGTTTATAAATAAGGCAAACTGTCTCTAAGATAAAAAGTGCGATGACTGTTAACATTTTATTGGCAGTGAACAAATTCCTGCACGATTCTCTGGGTTTAACTTTNGGTCAGATGGTAAGAGTACGGCTCTGCCTAACTCTAAAAACCTGATTCGGTCCCCAGTGGGGCAGGCATAAAGTATGTGCTCTGCTGTTTCATCATTTTCCAAACAGAGGCGACACACACTGTCTTCCGACAGTCCGAATCTCTGCATATGACGATTCAAATGACAGTGACCTATAAGAAGGCTTATTAGACATCGTAGTTCATCCCTACTGTAGTCCAACAACTGCTTGGTATCAAGCTTCGAAGGGTGAATAAACGCCTTAGAGTGAGCCAATCCTGGAAGATTCTGCCAGAAGTCCATAAATCTTCTTGCCATCTAGGTGTTCAATTTTTGTTTGGCAAATTCTAAAGCGATGCCAATAACAAGTTCTGGTCCAATGAATTTGCTTGCAGCCCTACTTTGCAAGGGAGTCAACAGCCTCATTGCCTTCCAGGCCAGTATGGCCAGAAATCCAGACCAGAGACAATCTGTTAAGTCTTTCTATCGAGAAGAGTCATTTTTGGCAATCTGCTACCAATTAAGACGTTGCTCGGTAGGAGCCAAGAGCTTCCAATGAGGTTGGATTCTTCCAATCTCTCCGCACACAATTCAATAGCGTGAAATTCCGCTTGAAATAGAGTCACATAGGTTCCTAGGCAGGTTGATATCTCTGTTATGGATTTGTTTGGGACCTAAACCCCAAGTTTTACCACAAATCCTTCGACATGTCCATAGGGACAGTCTGGCTTTGTGTACGAGGAGCTAATAGTCCGAAACCGGTTATCGGTAGTCGTACCACCCACAAGAAATTATTTCAACATTTTTAATAAATAGGAAGCTACTTGCGCCGAATCTTCCAAATGGAAGACGTTGTACAGGTTCCGGATGATTTTACTCAGGTATCTGCAATACGTTTCTATAAAGCCGAATTGTTTTACCTTAAATGGCAGCTCAGAGGTTCCCTATCTTTTATATGGCAAAATTTCGGATGGACGCCCAGTTATCAGTTTCATTGTCAAATTTTTATATATTAGCGTATACTCTAATTGAGACTTTTTCATTTTGGTGGCGCTCGGGAGGTACGCCTATACTTGTATGTAAATATACAAGTTGTATAAGAGTTGTAACCAATACATCCATTGGAAACGGACTTGACCTATAAAACCCTTTGTATACTATGTCAAAGCTGTGTTTCGATTCCTTGGCCGTGGTTTGCAGGTTTTTATGTCTGACGTTTCGCCTACATTGATATTATCAAAGGCAATGAAGCAACGGACGAAGTGTTCTGGGCACCTCAAAGAGATACTACAGAATTGGTTCACTCCTCCGGTTTTATTCCAATGGTTGTTGAATTATTGAATTGAATGGCCTGTTACGAGTCATTTTTATCTTCCTTTCGGTTGAAATTGTTTCATCAAAATTTCTTACAAATCCGAACTCGATCAAAAAAAGAGAATACCAAATCCAATTCCAAATATGCCGATTAATGGAAATGTTTTCCTGTCATATATGAATAATATTACCATCTAAATCGGGAGAGTTCTCTAGAGAAACACAATGTAGAATTGATATTCAAGTCAACGAAAACCATCAGAGAGAGTCTACGGTCAGCTAAAAACCCCAGAAGGTGTTTAGGTTTGCCTGATCCCTTCTAACAGTGGATCCATCTACTTTGGAAACACAAGAGATATTTTCTCTGAGGCATACAACAGAAGTAGTGGAATGTGTACTTAGAGAAGGTACCCACCTTATCTCGTTTGAAGAGACCCAAGTCCTTGATAGAACTGAGAGCTGCTATCTAAGACTTCATAGGAAGGTCATATAAATTCAGAAACACAGAAATAATGTCAACCGAAAGGAAGACAAAAGTAACATTAATGAAATCTGGCTACCTGTACTCTCGTATCAGGTCATTCAATTCACCCAATGGAAATGAAGCCATGCCCACCACCAACGAAGACGCAAACTAAGTCTATGGTACCTTCTTTGAGGATAACCAGAATACTTCATTCGTTGCTTCATCACCTTGTATGTTTACCGCAGTAGTTGACGAAACGCAGGACATAATAACCTACAGAGCACTGCCAACAAATCCGGAAAATGACCTTTTAACACAGTTATCACTTTTACTCTAAGAATAATAACCAAATAAATCTTACGATTGCTGAAGTATAACTCTCATATCCTCGGGCGGCAACAGTGAGGTTATACTGTCCTGGCAAAAGTATTCTCCAGTAGTCTCCGTCTTTTGCAGATTTGACTGAATGTTTTATACCTTCTACGAGAATTTCAGCATCTTTTATGGGGTGACCTATGGTGCTTGTAATGTAGCCTGACACTCCTTTATGAACCTAAAATTATTAAATCACACTAATCAGTAGAGTTTCATACGGATATGAAGCTTTCTGAAATAAAAGTATGTAAAATTACAAATGTTTCAAACAATATTTACCTGTTCCATATAAGTTATTACTGCCTCTTTGTTATCTAGCCAATATTCTGGTAGATCCTTGGCCATAGGGTACTTGTAACATCCAATTTCTAGAGTCAATTCCATACAGCCAGCAACAAGATAATTCCAGTCTTGCATTCCACCAGTAACAACGTACCATTTAGCACCATTTGTGATACCACCATTGAAAATTTCATTAGGAAACATCGGGCATGCTACACCTTTATGCATTGTTTTGTGTGCCTGAAATTATTATTAATAAGATCATTAAACATATGTACTAACTTTTTGATATTTCTTCATATTTTTACATATAATGTTTGTGCTCTTTTCATGTGATCTTTTCTCAATTAAAATCAACACTTTACCTTGTGCTGAAAAACTGTTAGAATCAGTAGTATGTCAACGACTGTTGGAATATTTTAATAAAAAAACACTCTAAACAAATCAATCTGGTTTTAGATCCAGTCATTCATATGAATCCGCACTTCAGCTTACGGTTACAGATTGGAAAGATAAAATGAGTAAAGGCATGTACGTTATAGTAGTATTTTTAGTTCTGAAACTGCATTTGAAACTGTTAATCGTGAAATGTTACTTGAAAAATTAAAAAAATATGGCATAAAAGGAAAAATTCTTAATTGGATCAGGAAGGAAGCAGGTAACCAAAATTAATAAGTTTGCTTCAACAGCAATAAGCGTAGACCATGGGGTTCCGCAGGGAAGTATTCTAGGGCCATTGCGATTCTTAATCGACATTAATGATATCAGCAAATGTAATGAATGTGATTATGAACATTATTTTGCGGATAATGCCCTAGTATCGATTAGTGCTAAAGATATAGATAAAGCTATTCAAAAAATTAATAAAGCATTAAATAATATTGCTACATATTTAAAAACTAATGAACTGAAGCTAAATATCAACAAAACAAAGGCTATGATACTTACTACACCGTTTAAGTAGCTTATTACCAAATTCAAATATCTAGGATATATGTTGGACAAGCATTTATCAAAGAATTACCATTTTATTTACATACAGAACAAAATTTTGAAAAAATTATATTTTTTTACAAGAGTGTCACAACACTAAACTATGCAATCACGAATAACGGTACATAAGACCATTATACAACCACATTTCAAATATTGTCTCACTCTTCTATACACAACTGATTTAAATAAAATGAGAACACTACACAAATAAGAAACAATTTGTATATAAATAATCAAACATTAATTTTTACAGGATTTATTTAGCATAACAGCCTACCTGAAAATGTAAAATCTAACAGTCTTATTCTGTTTGAAAGGAAATTATTAAACACATCTGGTAAGTTATCGACTGAGTAAGATGCCAATATGGCAAGTTACTGATCCAGTAAGTTACTAATTTGATAAGTTACTGATTGGATAATTTCGTTATCTGAAAAGTTACTTTGTTTCCGATTTAGTAAGTTGCTCATTTGGTTATTGATAGGGTAAAAGCCGATTTGGTAAGTTGCAAATTATGCAATATGTGGATTTGTTAATTAACAATGGTGTTAGTTAGAAATTCTCTCAGTTATCTATTTGATGAGTTGTTAAGTTACTGTTTCAATAAGATTTCAATTTGGTGTGTTGCTTGTCTGCCGATTTAGGTTACACATCTGGTAAATTATTGATTGAATAAGATGCCAATATGGCAAGTTACTAATTTGACAAGTAACCGATTGCATGATTTTGTAATATGAGAAGGTACTATGTTTCTGATTTAAAAAGTTGCTCTTTTGGTTACTGAATGGCTAAAAACCAATATGGAAGTTACAAACTCGCTCAGTTACCGATTTGATGATTTATTATATTACTAGTTCAAAAAGAAATTAATTTGATAAGTAGCTAACCGATTAGGTTACATGGTCAAGAGACCATTAAGGTGATATCAAATTATTATATATTTTTTTGTATTTTTAATTATTGAAGTATTGTAGGTAGTACTTATTAATAAATATTAGCAGATTTTTTTATTATTATATGTATATTAATGTTAACATTATTACAATTGTTGTATATTATTAGGATGTACCCTATTTATATAAAGCATTTCATTTCATTTCATTGATATAGATGTCAAGTTCACCTAAGAAGTTATCAACTTCACTTCTCTCTCAAAAATGCAGTGCATTCCCATTTCCAGCTTGAATGAGTTAAAATAAAAAGTGATTATTTCAATAGGCAAACATTTCCCGTTATATGATATAAGTATTTCCATGTCACTTTTTATGAATTCTCTGTACTAGCATTCGGATATGTAATTAGCTGTGCTTTTTCTTACTTACACTGGCATATGTGTGTGCTAAATATTTGAATATTTTGTCATCTGGAGTGAGGTTTTCAGATATTTGACCATTTGGAGTATCATCATAAGGATAATTAGCCACCAAGGCACCATTATGAAGATTAGCAGAAAGTACAAAAGGTTCTGACAGACTCCAGTCTATGACGGCTTGGGTTTCTGGCTGAATGATTTCATTGTACTGAAAAATAATAGAAAACAAATCAGTACTTTGAAATAATGCTGATACTGTGAAACAACACCTTATTTACACCATACTGATCTGGAAAGTTACGATTTAAATCATAATCATGAGCGTTGTTTCTCCCAAGAAGACTTGAAGGATCGCCTAAAACCATAGAAAATTTATAATTTGTAATTTCATGACAGTTTTCTCCTTTCTACCTTCTTTCGATATTTCGTATCCATCTGGGTTCATACTTGGTAACAGATGTATCCTTGTGGTATCCAATAAACTGGTAATTCTAGAATCTATACCATAACGCTCGCAAAGATATTTTATCAGAACTAGCAGAAGTTCTTTTCCAACCACTTCATTTCCATGCATGTTAGCAACATATTTGAATTCGGGTTTTCCTTAAATAAACAGTATAGCCACTAACGAAATGTATTCAGTTTAATAAAACAGTATATGGTTTGAATTGTTTATTTTTTGTTTAGGGTAATGACTATAGTCTTTATGGTAGATGATAAATATATTATTGATAATTCATAAGAAAACATCTATATGAAATTACAATAATATCAAAGAAATATTCATCTATGAAAGTTTCAATTTACTCAATACTGTATATATTGTGTTTTGTAATTGTCATCTGATTGTAGTTCGAGATGTCATTCTGGATAAATTAGAATTCTAAAGAATACTTCAACTTCAAAAGCGGCTATCAGACTCTTAAACTATAGTTTTGCTAAAATGGTTGAGGCTTTTTCGGCCGAAGTTTTCACTTTCTGAAGATTCGCTAGCGCTAGTGGCTAGCTCCTTCAGAGGTTTATACATCCTGGGTTAATGTCCGATGAAATTAACCCAGGATATATAAACCTCTGAAAAAGCTAGCCACTTCGAACCTGAAAAATAGTTACACTGAATAGTTTTGCTTCTGAATAACCCAAACATTTAAAAAATGATAATGCAACGATAGTGGCTAGCTTCTTCAGAGGTTTAACCATCATAGCTTGTTGTCCGATGACTACCTTTTCGGCTTCGTAAAGCGTATTTATGCCTTGTCAGGTAATCAGTTGTATTTGTACCTGCATTTGTACCTGTACTCGTTCTAATTCTAAATCTGTTCAATTCATAAGATTCAAATAATAGACTCAGTTGATTGGTACATCAAATATTTTTGTTAACAAATAATAATTGGAATAAACATCTGAAATCAATACATACTTCCTCAAAATTTGGAAAAAAACTCACTATGTGTTTATCAATAATGAATTGAACAAATTTTTTCAATTGAATCCCACATCGAAGACGATTGTGGATACTAACAATCGAAACGTCGTGAAGTAACTTGGTTTGGAATCTTTTAATTTCCATTTCTTGTTAATAATTTTTTCAGCTCGTGTTAATAGTTACGTTTTTTATTTTTTTTGGTTGTTGCTTGTATGTTATTTCATTGTAATTTCAGTTTTTTGCTTAATAAAATTGTTATTGCTCAGCTAATCTTTTTAATTTCTTACAGATTCTTTCAGGGATTTTGAATCAATTTATATCATATTAGATAATGGAAGTCCGAACCGATGAAAGTAAAAAATCATTTCACTTACCTGGCACATGCTTATCAGGAGTACTGCTAATAACAAACACAAGTAGCTCTCGTCCTTGCACTGAGGTGCCAATAGAATTCAATCTCGTTATGTTTGGATAAAGTTTATGATACTGGATCATGAAACTTATCATCTCTTCATAGTGGTGGTGTTTGAAAACGGATTCGTCACTAAGTAAAAACCCGAATTTGTCGTAAATAGTAGTATTATCGATTTCCGGTATTTGGAAGAGACCTGCAATAGGTTGGATTGCAAAAGTTGAATGTGTAACTATCTAAAGATGAAAATGATCGGAAAAAAATTCACTGTCATTATACAATCGAGCCAATGTTCATAATCGAACAAAGTATTTGGTATGAAATAACTTGGAAAAACTTTTGTGAATGTTGTCAGTACTAGAAATGATTCCTTAAATGTGTGAGACACTTTTCAAGATGATTTTGTTTGGAAATTCACAAAAAACTATTGCCTTTAATAGAAAGTTTATGTAATATTGTCCTCAAATGAAGCGGGTTTTCAAATGGACAATACATATTTTGACAAAGTGAAAGATATTTGGTTTCAATGACACATAAATGTTAAAATTAATAAAAACCACCTCCTTCAGAGTTAATGCCTGTTTATTTCAAAATGAAACCCACTTTCTGACTAAAGAGGCATGGAGAGAAAAATATCACTTAATTGAATATCACCAAACAATTTTTAATTTTGATGTTTAAACAAAGATAAAATTATCCCAATACTTGGAACCCCCCATTCTGCACATCAAAACAAAAAATCTTAAGATTCATCTAATACTGCATACCACCTTATGTTATTGAAGCATTAAATCGGTGCAAAGGAGAATATTAGAAATAAGCTCAGAGCAATTTCTAGGAAAATAAAATACACATGTTCATCAACGTTTTATTATAATTATAGAAATATCAAAAATACAAATAACTATACAAAGAGTGAAATACTATTTTTATTCGCAATTATTCACATACACTTAAATAAATTTGTTCATAAGATGTCTTTTGATCATGATATTCGAGAAACATTCCCTTCAGAATGATTTGTGTCAGTAACCAAATGGTTCTTTATGAATATCACCAAAATAAAAATAACTTTCAAATAAAAGAAACAGATCAACGAAGAAGTTGAAATCTGGAAATTATATTCTCATCATCATTGAAGTAATTACTCGAAAGTCACTTTGTTGCAGTCAATTTAAACTGAACAAAACAAAAATTTCAGCACAATTTGTTTTGCTGAGTCTTCAATATATTCAATTATGCTTAGAATATAGTATTGAATAGAAGAACATAAGCAGAGCACCGTAAAAAACAAACATATGTATTTTATTGGAATGTGCAAATTGAAAGTTAGTAGAGAGAAATCAGAAAGTAAATTATAATTATCAAATACTGTATAATAACATCTACTTCTTATTCACCACAGTTTCATTCATACTGAGAGAGGGGACAAGGAGGTCAATTTCTTAAACTAATCGTATCAGCTACAATTATTATGAATGTATGAATTTTAGATGATAATGACATTGACTCTTTGAAAAAAATTATATTTAACTGGTATTTTTTACTAGAAGACTTGAGTGATGCTTGAGATAACAATTGTGGTAGTTACTCAACAAAAATATTCATACAACACTAATGAAAACGAACTCATACGCCAATGAATGAAATATTGTTATGAAAAAAATAGAATGAAGCGAGAAGAACAAATTGATAACAAAACCATTCGTTTCGTGTTCCTCCATTATAAGACATAGATCCATCTGAAATGAAATATTTTTATTTATTGATCTTAGTTGAGAAAAATTAGTTTAATGTTGATTACTGTACGAGTAAATATATCCCCAGATAATCAATACTGAAATATTCTTCCTTGCTCCCCCTACTCGTTGTTCGCACATATTATTGAGTATTTTGTCAACGATATCAGTAGTATTCAAGACTTTTGTTCTTCATTTGATCATCATTTCAAAATATTACAGAAATACAGTTAGTGGAACTACAAAATACGACTTTACAAAATTAAACCCATAACCAATAACTCGAGTAGCTTTTCTTGCTTTTGAACACACATGAAAATATATCCCAACATTTTTGTGAGTTATCTTGACCAATACCAATTTTCAGATAATGTGTTTATTCGATATTCATTACCTTGTTCAGGTGGTAGGAGTTGTAATTTGAAGTCCTGCCTGCTCGTTTTGCCTTTTTCAACAGTTACTTGAACCCTCTCAGATGATTGATAGCTGAAATATAATAAAGCAAGGTGTTTCATTCTACTCAACTATAACATCAAAATTCATATAGACTTCTTTAACCTCTGGTGTGAAATAAATCCAAAACAAACATTGATGACGTAGACTACTTCATCTTCTGAAGATGCCAACTTGGTTGTTAAAACTCCCTTCAAGAAGAGTGTTGCAGTTCTGACATTTGGAAACCGTGTTCGTTAAAATAAATTATTTAAGCGAGAAGATTTCAAATCCTATTCTCCTAGAGAAATTGAACTATATAATAATATTGAACAATTAAATCATAATTCAAGCAGTATTCATTTTCACTCGTCCTTATGATAATTTCTTCAATGAAATTCAATTATATCTGTACTTGTCTACTGTTCAAATTACTGTTTCTGAGGATTGCTCATCAACATTTAACGGAATTGGAAAATAAGGCGAATTTTATTTTTTGTATCATTTCAATAACTGGCAATTTTTTATAAAGGGGAATATCACGCTTTTAGAGATAGATTATCCTATTAATTTGTTAGAAAATGTTACGGATTTCCCATTTACGAATTTTGACAATATTACTAGGTTTTTAGACTAATTTATTCGATTATGTATGAGCCAATATTCCTCAGCTGCACAAAAAAAAAAGTACAATTTCTCTCTATCAAACCCACACTATAGCGTATTATTGTTGGGTTTCAGTTAGAGAATGTAATGATCCGGTTAAACAGTTTTTGGAATAATTCTTTTTCATAAATAGGTTTCAATAGGTATCTGTCAGCTCATACGAACCCGTAGGTATTATCATTTTGGAATACTATTATAGGAATGGAATGTAATAAGTGCCAAACGGAATTCAGATTCGGGATCTAAGTGAATAGATTTTGTGATATCAGCAAAGAGAACAGAATTATTCCTTTTCAGGGTGAATGTGTAAGACATTGCCTAACTACTGTATTCCAAGCTTCATATCCGAGCATGTAAGCAGCCTTGGGCCTTTCTTCAAGTGATTGATTTTGTAAGCATGCAATATCGTATTTTTTACAAGCAGTGTTCAATGGATTTATTTGGAGGCTCGTTTTTTTTTTGGAACTTTGTACCATGACCACATTTGAACGTTAAAATGAGATATAGGAGAGGATAGCGATGAAAAAAAAACTTGAAACAGAGTAACACTTCTGCACGCAAACATGGTCATTTATTTGTTTATACCTAAATCTGATCGAACTACTTATAGAGAAATGTCATCTTCAAGTAACAGAAATAACTCCAAACTACTGAAGAAAATGTTTGCAAAAATGACTAAAGCTACTACCTCTACTGAAGACAACAACAATAGCTTTACACTCATTCCAATTTTCTAGGAAGTATTTCATTGATTAATGGTATGGCATACTGATGTCATCAAAATTTTGATTATTATTATATTCATAAACTGGCACTTAGCTTAGATATCTTTTGGGAAATAGTTTAGAAACGATAGTTGCTGCCTACCGATGTTTCCCCCTTTTCTAGTCCCCATGTAGGCTGTTATGGCAAACATCTGTCAGATCAACTACTCCCCTTTCTAGTGCCATGATGGGTATTGGATCATATCAAAAAAATCCTTGTGCAATATTCCTCAGAAAACAGGAATCAAGTTACAAGAGCATCCTAACTAAAATCAATTAGCTGAATTTTGTTTCGATACAGGCAGGGTGACCACCTGCAGGCTAACCTGGCATCTATTTGTGCAATATTCTTCAAGATGAACACTTTTCCAGTGGCACTTGTAAAAAAGCAAATAGTATTATTCTTTATTCAGTTGAGAATAACCACTTGCTTACATGTATGTTTCAATGTTGTTGCATCTAAAGAGGACCGGCTGGGTGGGACAAGCAAACCAATTCTTTTCATTAGTTTCAAATTCTTCGACACGCTTTCCGAACTTTGTTCGATTTTATAAGTTTTATATTAATTATACAATTTGCGAAAATATTGCATTTTATCCAGTTCTGAGCTATGTTTGAAGTTGCAAATCCTTTTAGCTAATCAGTACTTTTTTTCAAATCGATTGCCAAATTTGGACCAAACAGACAAGAAGCGAGTAATGAAGTGGAAAAATTTGAATAAAAGAGTCGAGGTGTTTCACATCATTCTACATTACTACAAAACACCCATTTGATTCTCCATGAAATTTGTTTTACTGTCGAGCAGTTTATATCTATTATTCAATTGTTGAGTAGTGTATGAAATTATAGAGGAATAAGTCTTTTATCAAGCTTTGACAAGCTTTATGAGTTGAATATAAAATCAACTTAATTTTTAACTATGAATAAGCTGCTATATTCAAATCAGCATGGTTTCACAAATGGCAAAAGTACTGAAATTGCTTTATATAATTTCCAAGAAAATGTAATAACAGCCTTGGTTGGAAAAGTCCAAATATGTGGGCTATTTATTGACTGCAGGCCTTTAAAAAATCTGTTTAAAATCTGTTTTTCCGTTAACCAGTTGATTGTGTTAATCATGACCTCTTATTAATCAAGCTTGCGCGTTATGGTATAAGGAGTGTAGCCTTGAATTTAATGAAATCATACTCAACTGATCGATCTCAGAGGGTAATCATCAACACAACTCAGAGCCAATCTCTCATTGATAAGCAGAGAGTTTCCCAAGGCTCAATTCTTGGACCTTTGTTATTTTTAATGTATGCTAATGATCTCATTAATTTCCTTCTTGACATCTCTAAAGTCCAAGTAATATCATATGCTGATGATATAAATCTACTCATGTGAAGATACTACTGAACTTGTGGTAACATCAGAAATGGTATACAATAAAGTAATGGAATGGTCAGAATTAAATCGTCTAATGATAAATGTATCTAAAACCTCTTTGATGAAATTTACTTTGAGCGGAACTATGGAACAGTTTCAAATGTTTAAGGAATGTATATGCTAGTGAAACGACTAAATTGCTTGTACTAACAATCGACTATAAATTGTGCTGGGAGCCACACATCGATATACTTAGTGAAAAGTTAAGAAAATATTGTTATGCGTTAAAGTTCTTATCAAATCATTGTCACGAAAACATACTATTTACCGTTTATTATGCAAACATCAACTGTCATCTGCGATATGGTATTTTTGACTGGAGTACTTGTACCTCTTGGTCACGTGTTTTCGCTCTGCAAAAATTTGCTGTGAGAATTGTTGCAGGACTAAATTGGAAGCAGTCATGTAGAGAGGCTTTCAAGCTACTAAAGATCATAACTGTGACAGGCTTGTATCTGAATGAACTGTGTATATACATATACAAAAATAAAGATAAATTTTTCAATAGAACAGATAATCAATATGGCACTAGATTCAGAAATCTTCTTGTGCCTGCTTTGCATAGAACTAACCTATACCAAAAAAAGTCATTTATATATGGGATGCAAAGTTTTTAATCACCTCGATGTCTATTTATTATACTTTTTTTTCACAAATATAATGTACCTCACAAATCTGTTATGTGAGCATATGTAAAAATTACTGTAAATATTTAAAAACTCTACACTGGCTAAAGGACTTCGGTCATGGCCTCTTGATATTCACCAACAAATGACATTTATTATTATTATTTTAAGATATTTTAGATTAAATGTATATTAAACCAGTTAACATTACCAACAGTTGAATAATTCATGCAAGTCATTGCTGAGTTTTTTCCTTGACCAGCCTTGTTAAAAAAGATATTGAGATCGGGGTATACTAATCAAAGTTAAATATGTTTTGATAAGACATGAACACCTTAGTAACCTATATTTCAAGAGTTACCTCTGATATGTGAAAGTTCCTTCAATACCCTATCAAAGATTTGTTAAAGTATTTTTAATACAATTATGAGTCAGATGATTAATCAATTTACAATGAAATCTCAGAATGTTTGAATTAGGAACTATCAAATATAAACGAGTGGTTATGTGACAACGGCCTCAAGTTAAATGTTAATAAAACAAAATGCATGTTAATAGGTAGCAAATATCGTTTAAGACAACTGCAAGATGAACAGCTGTCATTGAATCNTTCGATATACAAACTGAATAGAGAAAAGTATCTTCTGTATAATTCAGTGTTCATATAGAAGTATTTGTTTCGAAAGAATTTTTTTCTTTCGTGTAATTCAATGTTTATATGAAAGTAGCTGTTTCAGGAGGACTTTCTTTCAGTTTGTGTCTGAAAGTTACTTCTTTGTATGATCTACACATCCATGTATAGAGTTACTTATTTTCAAATTGATTACTTCCTTCCTTTCTTTGGAAGATTCCCTCATCCCTTTTTTTGTATCAAGATGGAGTAGTAGAAAGCCAAAAACTTTCTTTCCCAAAAAAAAGGCAATATTAACTTCTAATAAATGCACATCTGTGGAATATATGTTGGAAAACTGTCACTTATGTCTGCTAAACAAAGGATAACACTGAATATGCTAATATTTATATTTAAAATGAAACACAATATGTTGCCAAATTATCTGAGTGGTGATCAGTCAACCTACACAAGTAGTATTCATACACACTCCACTAGAAATAGAATAGGAAATTTTTATATCAACAGAGAACATATAGGTTGTGACTCGTTGTATAGTTCTGGTCTGATTGCATTTAATAATTTGCCAAGTCATATAAAAAGTTGTGATTCATTAAATTAATTCAAAACAAAATGTAGTGAATATATTTCAAGTAATAGTCATCAATAATTCGTCTTGTTTTCTAGTTTCTTGTTTTTAAAATGTGACTTGTCTCTATTTTTATATTTTTTGTTTTGTATTTTATAAGTGACTGACTGTACTATGAAGAGCATTATTTGCTAATAAAGAGTAATAATGAATATATGGAAAGTCAGGTACAGACACTGGTCTTGAATAATTTGAACAATTACAATTTGAAGGAACCAACTCTTAATACTACATCAGGATCAAGATTTGAAATGTTTATTAGTAGAGATTGCTCATGAATGGAAACAAAACTTTATTTATGAAAATAAATGATAAAATACTCACCCATATGCTGTAGAGTACATCTCGTAAGTACCTGGCAAAAGTAATCTCCAATACTCTCCTCTATTGGATGTCGTTATATTATGACTGATACCAACTACCACCACATCAGCATCTAACACAGCTTCTCCTCTTTCATTAGTCACAAGCCCTTTAACACCCCAATGACTAGCCTCTATAAATCGGAGTAAAGATTCTTTATTGTTCCTCCATTCCTGAGGCAGAGTACTTGCCAAAGGGAATTTACAACAGCTGAGTTCGAAAGTTACCTCGAAACAGTTAGAATGGACGTAGTTGAAATCTTGCATGCCACCTGAAGAATATAACAATAAAATAATAATATCAAGTGCCTGGGAGGTTACTAGTACAATGCTTTCGAGATAAGAAGGAGAATCCGGAAAAATTGAGAACCACTAGAGATACAAAATTAGTCAAATCAGGAAATAGTTGCCCATTTCATTATTTAGAATTCACTAATTAAACGATTATGGTGATACAACAGTGATGTGAAAAAAATGTAACTTACATTACATTACATTACATTATAAGTGGTAATGGTTTCTCGGAGATGAAACGTCAGATTAAAAATCTTTAAACGGCAACTTGTATAGCTTGTAAAGTGACAATGATAATGTATTTTTTTCAAGATCTTAAATAACATATTGCCTGCCATAAGAATAAATTTCTGTTAACAAAGTCTCTATATAAAAATAAAATAAAATGCAAAAGTGATTAGTATAAAGTTGTTATAATGGAACAATAATTACAATAATAATAAACCAACAATATACCAAACTAATAAACACTACAATACAATTAAAATGAAAATCCAATAAAAGTAACATCGCAACTCACCTTGTAACGTTAAAATCAAGTTGAAATATAAAAGATGAAACCTACAAATTATCTATAATAAATTCAATCATACTTTGTTTTCTGATAGGTGTCAGTCCATTAACCTACTGTGTAGGGTGTAGAGACTGGCCTGAACGAATTATTCTTTTAGATGATTTGATACTGTAGTATGATCGATTTCACACTAAAATGATTATAGCTTTTCTAAACCTTTCAATATCATGTTATTAAAAGGAAATTGATGAATTTCGTATTTTTCCAAATATCTCTGAAATCAATAAGAATTTCCTAAATTATGAAACATCATCTGAATAAGCTCCAAAATGGCTACTTTTTATTCATTTTGCCGACTCTATCTCTCATGGTTCTCGATTTTATCATGTTATAGTATTTTTTATAGTATAGACATTTTTAAACCACCATCTAGCTGGTTAATTCTAAATTAACACCAAATATTAAAATGAAAATAGTTAATCACGAAAAAAATCATGGCAAATGATACTTATAATGTAATTCTTAATATGAAAATGGATTATCGGAACCAGACCAATGTCACATTTTGTTAATTTTATTACAGTTTTTTATTCTTGGAGACAAACTTCTTCAAGGGTATTTTGAGTTTGCTCACTTTTCTCCACATAATTATGTTACAATTGTTTTCACAACTACCACAGACATGAATTACTTCACTCAAAATTTACAGCTTGTCAAATCTAGGAAGAGACTGAGAATTATTAATTTTTTTTTTCAACTGTAGTTTGAGCTGGTCAGGCCCTATTCCTAGAAGCCCCGATACATTTGAGAGGGCGCGCCAGCATTATCAACCAACGACCACTCCTCACACCGTGGGATAAGTGAGCATTGGGTCCGAGAATCATGTGTCCTGAGCAAGCGCAGTGAGTCAAGAATGACAGCCATCTGCATCTGTGCGGCTAAGATTTCTGCCTTAGTGCGGCAAGCCAGTATGATTTTAAGATTCGAGAGTAGACAGGGCATCATTCCACTGAGGACTCCAATAATCAAAACAACTATCTTGACAGAGTAGTCTGGATACAGTTTGCGAAGTTCGAAGAGAAAATCTCGATATTTCATCCGTTTTTCCTCCTATTATCAGATGATATTAGTCTCGTCAGGAGCTGAAAACCCCACGACAAATATCGTCTTACTCTGGTGGTCGAGAAGGACTACATCAGACTTATTAGCTTGTATGAGCCTGAGAGTGGGGATCGAAGAGTTCCAATAAATTCGGCACTTCTCGTTCCCCACAACGGATTCAATATCCCCCGGAGCGTAGAGCAACACCGGTGTCTCGTCAATACCGTAAGAGTGCCGTAGATAATAATATAGCTCTCTTAGGGCCGCGTTATGTCGATGGATATAGGCCGAGACCGCATATGCTGGACATGCTGATAGCAAGTGCATTAGGGTCTCGGACGCCTCGCGGCAGGCTCTGCACTTTGTATCAGGAACCTCTATACAAATCACGTAACTGTGATAGACTAAGGTGTTGAAGACACCACTGGCAAGCCATGATGAACTACTCAGTTTCCGACTTCAGCCCACTCGACCTGAGGAAAGCCAAGGAGAGGTGCTTTGATAAGCCAAGGTCTTCAATGTTATTGAAGACCCCATGCATTCTATTATTATTATTATTACATTATAATTCTCTCTCTCCCTTACTCTCATAATATTCTAACGAACGCACATCTAGTAGGCAGGACCATAACGGAATTCAGAAAGCTCTTCCTACATTTGACAAACTATAGTTGACCTTTTGAGTTTATTCAACTGAAGAACAATAATCTTATGAAGATCAAAACGTGTCTGAAGACTGTATCGAGGAAAGATACATTTGTATAAGAAATTCAATATTTCGAAACAAAATCTCAAAATATTCTTCTCTCCCAAATACCTACACAGTAGGTTATGGTAAATGCCTGTCGGTAAACAACAATTTCCCCGACTAATACCACGCTGGATATTGAATTACATCAGATAGATATTTTTGCAAGATACCTCACAGGTTAGTCTTGCAGATGTTTCTCGTTCATCCAGCAGCAGGACCATTCTAAAATTTTTTGAGGAAATTTCATGTGAGAAAACTTTTCAGACAGGAAGAAAATTTCTATTTTCAGTTATGGTAGTTGAAATACAAATTTTAGAGTCAAAAGTTAGCCGAGTTCCGAATCTATTTTTATTTCAATGAAATTTCAAATGTAAATATTTGGAATACAGCATTCCTCGATGTAAACCCTGTAATAACAAATATAGGCATCATAACACTACATTCAAAATAATCCAATGAATTTCACTGCTTTGCATTATATGAAACAGAAATGAAATTGGCTGTCTCATATTTGTGAAATAGTTTGAACATTGAATTTTTCATAGGTTGACTCGATCTTTTTCAAAACAGAATTTAAATTGAAAAGCTTTCTTGGACTGAAAAGTTGATCTTCACCGAATTGAATGAGTATAAATATCTAAAACACCACTTTTGAAAAATGTTTATTATATATTTAGACTTTTCATGGGAAATTGTAAAAAATGAAAACTCACCCCTCACTTCATACCAGTTTGCCCCATTAGTGATTCCTTGTTCAAAGGAATCTTCTTTACAAGCATTACCTGGTTTCATTATAGGATTGGATTCAGCATAGGTGAGTGCAAGTGTTTTGAAAAGATTATTATCAGGAGAGTTACTTTCAACACAGCATTTCTTTCCTGAGCTGAAATATTTTGTGTTTATATATTTATAGTTTATTGTTTCACAATATTCTCACTTTGAATCATCAAAAGGGTAACTGGCCACCACAGCTCCTCCATGTAGATTGCCTGACAAGACAAAAGGTCTGGAAATAATCCATGTCATCAATGCTACGGTTTCAGGCTGTCTGCCTGATAAAATTGTTCCTAAAAAAAAAGACTGATTTCGCAACTGTTTCCCTTAACAATTTTGGATTATTAATATTCATAAGCTAAGGTAACTTAATGAATAAAAGATCAGGACCAGATTTCACTGCATTCAAATAAAAATACTGTGAAGGAAATGTCGAATATTGGCAACACCGAAGAACCAGGCGCTAAACACCCAGCGCATACCCCTCCATGCATCAGTACCTGCTGAAGGGTCTCTGTCATCTCAACATCCTCAGACAAAGACACTTGGAATAGACACTCTTTACAGTAAACACATTTCGTATTTTATACTTATTAGTTTTTGCAATACAGCGTTAGTAGTGAATGTGGTACCATTTTAGTCGAATACAGTCCACGAAAAACTCAAAACCACATATAACAGGAAACTTCTAAAATAACAAATGTTCAAATATATTTTTTTTTGGTTCATGTTAGATATAGGTAATAAATAATGGTTATTCTTGGTATGTGTTGAGACTTGGTCAACCTTGGGAATTAGCCAACCAATTTTTGAATATTTCAGGGGTGCAGAGGACTGATAATTCATCTACAGAATTCTCTTCAGTTATGTCTGTTGAGGCAACTCGATATTCCAGTACTATAATTACATTTATAAGTTTGTACTGGTTCTACGAAATTCAAGTTCTACGACGTCAGGATCATGTGCAGGTGATATAGAGCGTTCTGGTTTATTGAGGAGAACTGTTGTTGAGAACTGTTCCCTTTGTTCATGCGCGTTCATGTGGAAATTTGTTTGGGCTATTTTCTAGGAAGTTTTTTTATTTATTTGATTTGAATAATTGATGATTGAGATTAGATAACATTTGAACTGACTACAAGGATATGCTACATAACAAAATGGACATGATCAAAAGTATTTTCTTGTCTTCATCTCTTCATTTACAATGAACAAAGTAGTAATCGATAAGTGATCTTTCACTTGTTTCGATATTTACAAATAAATAACGAGAGTATTAGGAGAGAATATATTTATAAATGATACCAGATAAAATTAGATTAGGATTTATATAAAATATCAAAATGGTAATGGGGTTATGAAATGATAGAAAGAATTATTAAAAGTACAGTTAAAAGTTACAATTGCGAGTCGAATTGGTGTATTGAGTTAAGAGTAACTACTAGTATGTATGTATATATCATATTAGATAGAAATAGACAAAGATCTGAGATAACACATTATAACTTGAGTAGAGTTTGAACAAAAGTCTTTTACTAATTCACAAAAGTATAATACCTTATATTTATTTATAACAAAACTATAGTGGCAATAAGAATATCACAGGATGTTCACAAAATACTATTAATCAATGATTTGTAGTTATTCACTTGCTATAGTTCAACCTGTGTTAGGAATCACAGGTTCAAAGGTAAGACCTCATTAGTCCTTAGCTTGCACAAGTTTCGACTTCTGAGGGTTATCGTTTGTAGGGGTGCGATAGCTGGTTAACGGAAAAACAAATTTTTTTTCAATTGCCATTTCAACACTACATCTCAATTCTTTGAGTCAACGAAACCAAACGCTACTTGAATTGCCACTTGTAGAATGAAAGCTGAACAATTTTTAAGAAATTGTTTCTAATTTAATCGAGGTCTGTTCAAAAGTATGGTAATTTTTTTCTCAAGAAATATTTATTTATTTATCAGTTTCAATCTTGTCCCCTTCAATGTAGTCTCCCTCAGATATAACACAATTGTGCCAGTGTTTTTTCCAATCCTCGAAGCAGTTTGATACACATTTTTTGGTATGTCCTAGAGCTCTCCCAGCGATTCGTTTTTCATCTCCGCCGTCTTTTCATGGGTCTCTTCAAGCTTGGAAACAGGAAAAAGTTATTGGGGAACAAATCTGGTGAATGCGGTGCCTGAGGCATGATAACGATGTAGTTTTTGTTCAAAAAATTACGAATCAGCAAAGACAATTGACCAGGTGCATTATTGTGATGTAAAAGCCATAAACTGTTTTTCCACCATACTGGACGTTTTCTTTATATTGCTTCTCGAAAGCGGCGTATATCTTCAAGATACTGCTCCTTACTGACTGTATATAACCATGTGGCAAGAACTTCTGATGTACTACGCCATGGTAATCGAAGAAAATGGTGAGAAAAACTGGGCTCTTCCATTGTGACAATTGGACTTTAGTTTCGATGTCATAAAATCATATACCCATGAATCGTAACCAGTTATGATCCTTTTAAGCAAATCTGGATAGCTGTTGATGTCATTAAACAATTCCTCAGTGATACTCATCCAATGGTTTTTTTGGAACAAATGTTGTTGCTACATGCTTCATGTCCAAACTTCCGAAAAAATCGCATGGCATAAGCCACAGGATATGCGGACATCCTCAGAAACTTCTCTAATAGTGATTCAACGATTCTCCATAACAATTTCCTTCATTTTCTCAACATTAGATGTAGTTGTGTTGGGGCGTCCAGGGCGATGTCGTCATTCACATCTTCTCGACATTCTGTGAAAAGCTTGTACCATTTGTAAACATTTTCTGATTTAGGGACTTAAATCCTTAAATTAACCTAAATCGCTGAACACGCAAAACATTTACAACTTTTGTGCCTCTCAGCAACAAACTAAAGACGCTAAACAACTGAAACTGTGAACATATGGCCGAGAAGTGTGTACCAACATAAAAAAATTAAAAAATTGCTTATCGAATGTATGTAGCCACGAAATTTAAACATTTACCTTATTTTTTTGAACAACCCACATATTACAAGATAACAGAATTGATTACTTATGGTAATGCCATTTCAACAATATCATTTAAGTATGAGTAACAGTAACTCAAAGTCCTCAATGTTTCACCAACCAAAGAAAGTAAAATAATTTCTGTGCTCATAGATCTGTGAAAAAATGAAAAACACACCAAGTTTATTATTTTCTTAATACGACTTTCATAGTTGAACTGAAAAATGTAATTCTTTATCTGAAAATATGTTAACTCATACTCGTCTAAAAATAGAAAAGTACTTGATAAGTTTCAGTTAAATTTTTACCTGCTCTTGATACATCAAACTGATCAGGAAAGTCTCTATTCAAATCAACATGGTTGACGTTTTCCCTTCCAACATATCCATTTTTTGAATCACATTTTCCTTCCTAAAAAAAAGATAGGTGTCAAGACTTTGAATGATTACAATTGAAAATCAGACAGTGAATCAAATATGATCATGCAGCATTATCAGCTTGAACTGCTGTCTTAGTCTGCAAAAAGTTTTGATTGAAAATTGTCGTATCTGATTTAGCACCTTTGAGTTAGTAGGCTGAATTGAATATTCATGCATTACTTCAACTGACGAAAAACAAATATCTATAAAGGAAAAGTGGTAATTGCTTTACTAATGATTCAAGATAACATGGAACTAGTAATGACTAGTTAAACATGATTTTTGTGGAATTATCAGTTGCAGATTAGGGGAAAATAAGCAAAATGGTAAATTGACATTTACTGATAATGACTCTTTTTCATATGTATATGTAATTTTCATATACATGTCCAAATCACAAATAACAACTCCCCCACTTGAATTGAATTTACCTTTCAAAATTTTTTTAAGAGATGAAATAAGTAATACAATAGTGTTTCAATTGGAATATTATTAATATAAAAGCTGTTGTTCTATACTTTATAGATTAGATGCCTTAATTCATTACTAGATTTGATCCTACCTATATGGTACCTATGTTATAAAATAATGTCAAAAAATCACCAGGCAAAATATTAGCATGAGTAATCTGATATTGAGAAATCAAGTTGAGATTATTATGTTATCAACAATTATGAATGTAATTCCCAATTTAGAATCAGTGATATGTGAAGAAAGTGAATGAAGATTTGTTTGATTAACAATATTATCAACAAACATAAATTAAATTCCCAACTCAGTCAGTAATCTGATATACAAAGAGAAAAATTGATCAAAATCAATAAATATAAAAGTGATTCTCAATTCAGATTGTTTATTTTAGTAATTAGTGAACTGATCAAAACTGATGACTTTACCAAAATCTTATATCAATATGATACAAACCTCTGAGTTTTCATACCCATCAGGGTTCATAGAAGGCATCAAAAAAATATCAGTTGTGTCCACCAATTTAGTCACTCTTTCATTTTTCCCATAATTATGAATCAAATATTCAGCTAAAAAAATCATCAGTTGTCTACCGACAGCCTCATCCCCATGCATATTAGCAACATATTTAAACATGGGAGTTAACACAGTCCTATTAGGAACATTGGAATGGATCTCCAAGGCCCACAACTCCCTATTTTTCACAGATTTTCCTACAGTTATCAACTTCACCAAATCTGGGTGTTCAGATTCCAATTTTTTGAAGAGATTCGTCAGCTCGTCATAGTTGATATACCTTGGTATTTCTAAAAATTTTTCATACTCCACACTCGTAACATTGCTTGCTTCACTTAAATTTAATATCACACACAGTAAAATTATCGCCTTTGAGAACATTTTTGATTTTATATTTGTTTTTTAAACTGCCATTTTTTAAATGATCCGGATTTCCTATCGGCAATAGCTAACTAACAGATAATACGTCAACTATTCACTCAATGCCAACAGGTTATCATTATATCAGAAAGGAAGAAGGGGGTATGGGAAATTTCGAACTTCCAAAACACAAGTAAATAAAAGAGAGCAATTTTCAATACATCACCTGAAACGTTGGTTGTATACATACAAAAACACAGAACTAATACTTCGGAGGTGACTAGGTTCTATGCCCATGCCAAAAATTTGATTAGAGTTAAGGCGAGTTCATATTAGAACGATTGCAATAATATTTTTGCGGTTCCGCAAATTTGCCTCAATTGTTAAAATACCCTGTTCATGTTGAAGCGAGCAATATCTAGGTATTTCATTGTTGAATTTTAAATTTTATTACATGAACCTGAATGATGACAAACGATTCATACGAATTACGACTTTCAAGACCAGACCCCATCATATCAGAATATAGGACTAACAATTTTCTCAAGTTTTGTTTAATAAGAGCGTGTCCTCAAACCACTTATCTTAACGTTACTGCATACAGGGGCGAGGGGTTCTTTTGCAAAATGAGTTTTCTTTAATGAGGGTCCAACTAAATTCAATAATTTATTGAATAATGAGAGAGTGAGCCTGAAATATTTCTCTGGATCACTAATTCTGATTTATTTCAGCCACAAGATTGTGATATTCTCCATATTTTCTTCTATTTTTGAAAATATTTCCCACTATAAAGACGCGGTTTTCTCAATGAAGCTTTTTACGGTAAGTTGATATAATTTGAACAGCCTGACACATTCGTCCATTTTGGATTCAATTTCGATGTATGGGCTTAAAAAACGAGAGTCAAAGTAATATAACTACTTTGTATGTTGACGTATAACATTTTGCGGAAATTACAAAAAAGTTCAATTTTTTCAACTTTTTTACGATAAACAGGACGCCATTTTAAATCGCACTTTTTATGCGATGTTCGTTCCAACATGAACTAGCCTTTATATGTATTTGCAAAAGTTAAGAACTATTGCGTAATTCAATCCGTTTTTGAATTTACACCGATATTTAATAATGGTCACCTGCAAAAACTGATTGACAACTACTTGGATTTCCTTCCTATCTTACTCTTTTTCTTTATATCGTTATATAGTTGACAATCGAACATTGAAGAACAACATACTTTATCAAACAACTCCAGTGGAAAAGAAGTAATCACGATTCTACTATAAACCGACTTGCAAAATGAAGAAATAAACATAGAATAATACATGAGTAAAAAGCCTAATATTTTTAAAATTTGTTTTGAATACTTCATCTTTTATGAAGCCCTCCTACTAAAAAATCTAGAAGAGGAAGGTCCAATAAACGTGGTGGCCATTCACTAGGACCATTATTTCCTATACATTTTCCTTGCATTGTTGTATTGAGGAAATCTCTGCACATTCTCCTGTGATGTGGTGGAGCTCCGTCGTATTGGAAATACTCATTGTTTCTCAATAGGCTGGGTGGCAAATCTTCTAGAAACTCAATTAGAGTCTGATATGAAATCCAAGTATAATTCTTCGGTCAGATATGTTTAAAATAATGGGGGCCAGCAATTTAATTATCAAGAACACGAAGCCATACGTTAACACCATATCTCTCTTGAAATATGTTAATATTAATTTTATTGTCGCCAGTGACAATGTATATTCCTGTTGAACTATTCGTTATTGGTAACTCTACTTGCATCACACCACAATTTTTTTTTGCAAATTCCATTATTTTGGCGAAATTTTCTAATGAGTCATCTACCAAAAACCAAACGCAAATGATGACTTTCCTGACTATGGCCGAATTATGAGCCATCTCCATTAGGAATACTTCCTTGTTCTCAATTTTTTCATTTTCCACAAATCCTAATCAAATGAATGCCACTTTATCACTATTAGGAATCTTTTTTGAACTTACCTAAAACGCCGAGTTAATTATCGCCACCACATTCAGTAACCGTATATTTTCTTTTGGAAAATTTTTCAAAGGATCTATGATTTCGTAAACTATTTTCGATACGTTGAAAATATCTGTCACTAGGTTGTCGTTGTTCAGGATACAATTCCTGATACATTGTCAGAGATTTGGTAGCATTTCTCAAACATCCCGAATAAACAAAAAGCATCCACTTTTTCGTCATTGGAAAAATTCATGTTTTTTGCTTGAAATCGCACACCAAATTGAATAACTGTTTTATTTTTTGTTTGACAATTAACTTGACATTCACATTCATATCGCTTATCATGTTTCTCCTGAATATCATCAATGCGTTTTTTGATACAGTATTTTTATCGGTTAGTTCTTGTTGATATACTCATTTTCTGAACAGAAATATTTGGGTAGCTACAAATTTTCAAGAGACATTTGGATACTATGAATGGCTTCGTATTCAAGACAACTCTCGATAAAAAATGATAGAATATTGATAATGTGTTTTCGGCAAAAACGTCGAGAAATACATATGTTGTGATGAATCAATGCATTTGTAATTACAATGACTACCTAACTGTATAAAAAATATAAAAGCCGTATTTAAAAAAAATATATTGATGATGGATTTCAATAAAGGAAACGTCGCATTGGAACATGGGTTGAACCAGATTATGAAAAACATGAAATGAAGTGAAAAGTTTTATGTCATTTTTTGATATTATTGAAAATTGAGGCGGTAGAGCAAAAAAATAAAATCTGTCATTTAAAGTTTTTTGCAAATATCTCAGAAACGATTGGTCTGAGATTACTATTATGTTGCATTTCTAAAAAGGCAACTTTTGTTTTATTTAACCGTCCTTGTAGGACCTACCGTTTCCGAGATAGCAATAGTGGTATCAGCTAAAAAAGCGGATTGTATATATTATAATATAATTTGTACTCATCCTTGCGTATGTTGATTCGCCTGTTGGTCCGGCCCATGTTAGTCTCGTCACAGTCTTCTAATGGTACTTCGTAAACTCCTTGGGACTCTAGTGATATCTGATCATTTGGATTACAATAAGGTTTATTCTCCTTAATCCAAAGAAGCAGATACCACTGGAGTCTCAAGGAGTTTACGAAGTACCATTTCAAGTCTGTGACAAGACTTACATCGGTCAGATCAACAGGCGAATCAACATACACAAGAATGAACATAACATCAATTTCAAGAACACAAAATTTCTAGCGAACAATGAAAACTTCTACTCTAGAACAGAGAGGCTATTGAAATTGAATAACGACCTAGTATTATGAACAAAAGGGATTACGTGCAGTAACGTGGAGAATAATATTATCACTCCACAAAATATCAAACAGGTCGCACAACTGCAAAAGCAAAACTAAGCACGTGATAATTTAGGTATAATGACAAAGGCAGGCAGGACAGCACAGGTAATTGGGCGTTCCAGTTGAAAATGATTTTTTTATAGAAGAATATTAAGTGGTCTATGAGGAAAAACTTATCAACTCGTAGCCTTATAGACGTAGTGACAAGCAATTTAGCTTTGGTGTTGTGTTGTTTATTTCCTCTTTTATGAAAATGGATTCAATAAATTGGATAGGTAGTGTTGAGCTGAACAGACATTGAGATAATGGAGAACGATAAGTATGTTTTGATAGAAGAAAATTATTGTAGTATTTTGAAATCATTCAGTTGGAATTAATACGTTGCTAACACAATTCAACTGTCAATATATCAGTGAAAACTTTTAAACTCTATATTTATTTGTTCCTATAGAAAAATATAGAACATGAATACCATGTCACGTACGTCATAAACAAAAAAAAACTCAACAGGATGAATTGTAAATATCTCGACGATATAAAATAATATTTAGAAGCGTGTATGGAATATATATGAATTCTTGACAAAAAATATTCTATATCTTCATGATCTGTGGATAAATGTATCGGATGAAGTTGAACCAAATTTCAACTATTTCCGTTATTGGAAAACACCAACACCAGCTGTTTCCGTAATCGGTAAAAATTTTAAATATTTGAATGGATTTTCCCACCATTGGATGACGAAACTGTCGAAATCCAGCTTTAAACGGTACTAATTTAATATGATCACTTAGAATGGTTCGATAAATAGGTTGATGGAGAAGTACTAGAAGGCGTACTATTAGTATATCACTAGTACTAGTACTAGAAGGCGCACTTAGTTTCAAATTATGATTTCAAATTTACCGAATCTGGTACTGAAGTATTAAAACGGTAACACTGAACATAATATATGGTCTATTATTTTATCATATGAAGCATAGAACAAAACCTGGGTTTGAGTTCTCTATTTTAAATAACTTGTATCTCGAATATTGATACGAGAATAGGCAACTTATTTGATGCATATGTGTATTGCTGTGTGCCTATGAATCGAGAATGAAAGAAATTTATATGAAGAATAATCCAATCATTAATAAAATCAAGGTTTTTTGCAAGTTCTTCCAAAATCGATAACCGCCGCTCATTGTGCTTTTCACAAAGTAGTGGGGTGGTTCATTCACTAGCAGGTTCATTGAAAATTTTGCTGAAATGAATATGAAGGTAAGTTTATATGTAGGTACTGATATGTGGAGATTTTGGAAATGACAGAAAATTAGAATTTCCATTAGAAATGCAGTGAAGATGAATATTTTTTTGTCAAATTTTTAGTATATTTGAATGTGAAATAATTTGCTCTAAAGAATGAAAAATATAGACCGTGCGCATCGAAAAATTGTCAATGAAATCAAAGTTAATAGTAAAATTTTCAAAGCAATAAGCGCGTCGTACTTCATATAAAATCAGAATCCTTTTTGAAAACTTTTTTATTTTGGGAAGATATGATCCAGCTAATTTGTTCTTGGAACCAATTTTGAAGTTGGAAATGTGAAAAATTAGGGAGGTCATAACTAAGCGACAAACAATCACAACTTTTTGAGGACGATTATTCCCACTTCTAAAAACAAATCTTGTGTTATGTATTAACCAAATACTATAAAGTATTATTGTTTTAAAGGTGTCAACTTCAAACTTTGAAATACGAATTAGAAGTGGGAAATTCTGCATGTATAAATATATGTTTATATAAAATCAAGGA